CCATTGAATTTTCACTCTAGGACACTGTTGTTTCAAGATTTGTTTTTATTCATCTGTATTATTTTTTCATAAAAGTCTTGAAATGTATGCTTTTTTCTCCCAAATGATTCATCAAAGCTGTAGTCATGGCGGAAAAGGAAGTTTCCAACATACAGTTACAGTTTTTGTCAGTGGTACAAGGATCCTTAAACAGGATATTTTACAGTCGTACTTATGCAATGGGAGTTGGGATTGGACAAAAGCCTGCAAACATTTTTGAGTTTTTTCCCCTTACGTTAATGTCTACATGCTATGACTGAAATTTAATAACAATTCTGCCAGAATGGCCATTTCATAAAATGTATTGGAGACTGGAGTGCACAAAATTAATATGGCTAAAAAAAAATCAGTTGCCGTGAAAGCAGACAGGTCGGTCATAGAGTTGTTGGGAATTGTTGATTTTAGTACTGATTTCATAACCCAAACACATTCATCTCCAGTTTCAGACTGACATTTTTATAATGTGCTGCAATTTTTTTTTTTCTCCAACCTTTAACATTTGTTTGTGTGTAAAATGTATTCAGAATAACTACTCTACAACATTTTTTGGCACAAAAACATCTGCTTATACACTGTATATGAAAGATATAGGCATTTGCTGTTTACACCTGTATGTAAAAACAGTTTAAACAAAATTAGGGGAAAAACATTAGATCTGATAGACCCTTAAGGGACACATTACAGTACACATAAATTACCTGGGCAACCAGCAAATCTAGTAATAGTAGTATGGATAAACGTTTCTTTGGACATTTGGGGTGAGGCAATCTCAGTGGTCAACTGTGAACATATACAATGGGAAATCTAATAGGAAGTTGCAACTGTACCAAGGATTATTGACCAGATCAACATCCAGTCATCACTCAATGCAAGAAAACAAAAATCAACCATGGCCTAAGAGCAATAATTTAACAAGTTCAGGGTTTGAATCCTGGTCTCAAATTCCAGCATTGCTTTTCACAATTACTAAAATGTTGATGCTAATATTTCATAAAAGTCCCACAAGGTATAGTTTTCTTATCAGAAATGATTTATCAAAGCTATAGTCATGCTGGCAAAATCAGTTTCGGTGCAAAGGTATTTTTGGTAATACTTTTGAAATGCCCAGTTAATGACTGTATTTATTTATTTTTAAAATGAGATGTGTAAAACATAGTTCTAGTGACTGTGACGTCATAATTTTTGGTGTTTTGGTTTTAAAAAGGTCATCCAATAAAACCTGAAAAAGTCTATCATGAAGAAAATGGACAAAATAAATTATTTACACAAATATCGAGACAACACCTATATACAGCTGCCAACATCTCAATCCAGTCTGTATGAGGTTTGAGTGAGAGTGTACCCATGATGTAACACCAGAGGCCTTAACTCGCCGATTTTAATAACTAAACATTTATACCTCGGTATCATCACACAACTCTTCCCAAGTCATATTGATTGTTACCGCAATGTTTAATCCACAAAAAGCATACAATGTCAATAAATTATGAATGAAATCACACGTACCACTCCTGCAGAACATCAATATTGATACAATAAGTTCTGGCGGAGCTGCACTAGAAATGGCTTTCCTAATACACTTACAGCGGATTTCCTTTTAAAGTTCAAATGTTGTCCAGCCTGTGGAAACTTATTACTAAGATCAACTTCTACATTAAACCTGTGAATGAATTATGAGTCGACAGATTTTATGACGGCAGCTGCTGAATACATAGCTTTATATAATGTAGATAGTAAGCTGAGGTCACAGTAGAAAGGTATTGTACAAGACATTGATGCTGGTGAGATCCATTTTGGAGGGTTCCAATTAAGTAACTTTAATGACTGAGTCAGTAGTACTGTGGACCCTTAAGGATCCCCGTGCCACTGCACAGCAAGTTTCATGATCCTAGCGTAAATGTGGGTAAAGTTATGCTCCGGACACGAAAAGGATGGACAGATGGAAAGTCAGAGGGAAGGACAAAGCCGCAACTATATGCTCCAAAGAACATTTTCGGGGAGCATAAAAAGTCACCAAGAAACAGAAGGGAAACCATCACATCCAGTCAACCGACAGGGCGATCCCAGTACTAACATACACTAATCATGTGGCGGTTTTATCTTCACATATTAGCAGCATAAAATCTCTGAATTTGTTGCCTTTCCCATCAAAGTTCACTTAGGATTAATGACCTAGTGTTCAATAAACAAAATTTGAAAGTTTCCTCATGCAAATTAAATTCAAGTGCCATACAGAAATCCCCCTGAACTTTGTTTGAGTTGGTGTGATACACATGATAACAAAACCAAGGACAACAACAATAAACAATTTGTTTACCTCCAGACGTCACTACTCTTGGAGAAGGTGGAGGTCTTTATCACTTCAGGAGCCATCCATGCGTAGGTCCCAGCAGCAGACATCCGGGTGGTTCTTGACACTTCTCTTGCTAATCCGAAATCTGTTATCTTCAAAGTTTTCTTATCCAAGGAATCGCTTAGAATCTTTTCTTTTAAGAGTACTGAAACAGAGAACAAGATTTTCTTGTCAAAATCTTATTATAAAACACATGCTAGTGTTTATTTTATGTATACAGGTAGAAATGGTGATTGAATTTTTGTTTCCCCGAGTCAGATCTGCGTTCTGAAATAAGGTCACAGGTTTTTATGATGTCAAGAGTCTGTTCAACATGATAGGGTGACAGTTCTGTCTTACAGGAATGTCATAACTTGATAACACATTGCTCAATGCGATCATATTTTTCTAACCATTGAGGTGCTTTAAGGTAGATATAGCAGAAAAGAATGATTTGGTAAGGGAGAAAATCATTAATTAGCCTAAATACAATCTACATCTAGTGTAAATTATCATAATGGTTGTCAGCTGTAGGCAGCAGGTAAATCAGACATTGGGGTACAAACAATTTAAGCTAAGCTAATGATTGACAGCTATCCTGTTTACTTCTTTATTATAAGCTCACATATCATCCACCATCATAAATATCAACCTCCTCTCCCTCACTTTTTACATACTCACTCAGTACTAGGGCTGTGAAACTATATTGGAAAACAGGTACATCGCAATACATGGGTATATATTGTACAATACATAGATGAAATATTGCTGTACCGCAATATTTTTTTAAAAGCTAATTTTTATTTTTCTCATTCTGCTTGGTAATTTAACTTTGCAAATTACTACAAATTTCAACAGATATGCCAATAAGCATAAAAGAGGCTTTTATTATTATAGTGGTGGGAATTAGTTCAAATTTTGTAATCAATGGTTGGTTTGATAAAAATCTTAAATCTATGTGATCCATATTATATATGATTAAGTTTGATACCATTCTGACAATAACTAATCATAAAATCGAGCACATCTTTCCTGTAACAATATATTGGGATATGTATCTCAATATGTTCATTCTGTATTGCCATATCATCCTCCATTTATGATTATTTAAAGATTCCCCTTCCCACGTCTTCTCAGTTCTACTCAGATAATCCACCATTATAAATACTCCATTCCCCACACAATCAATCGTTATATGTCCCTTCCTACCCAGCTGCCCTAAGATTACCAGCCATGATGAAGAACCTGCATGTTTTGGTTCTCCATTTAGAATACTGGAGCCGACCCTTATTGATTTTTTTTAACACCCAGTAATTCACAAATTTAAACCTGAATTTCCAGAAAGAAAAACCCATATACATGTATACACAACAAGCTATGTTTGATACTAAAACCAATTTAACAGGGAAAAGATTTTCTATTTATAGAATGTAAATTTGTAGGCCTAGGGTTCTCCCGAGGATTTAAGCAGAAATCTTTTCGCTTTCAGCTAGTTGTACAATATGAAGGCAGTATTTTGCTTCTGTAAATATATTTAATCGTTTTGAATTTATAAACATCACATCAAAGGCTGAATGGCAAGTGTGTGAGAAAGATTAACAGGAAAAAAGTTATACACAAGAACAAGAGGCCCATGGGCCTTAATGGTCACCTGATATATTTATACAGAGAGTTGATTTTGTTTTTAACATGAACAGAAATATTATTCAAAGTGACAAAAAACAAATAAAACCACCTTATTCAATATCTAGCATACAGATTTCAGACTAAAAAGTATTTGAAACTAGCACCTCTGATTCTAAACAAGGAAAATGAAGAAATTTTAGCACACTGACTCCTTTGAGCCCCACCCTACAGCCCTTGGGGGTAGGGCTGGCTCAAAATTTTCAAAGTATCAAACTGTCAAC